AAAGGGGGTTTGTGTTGGGATGTCTTTCAGGTGCCCAGTGGATGGGTGGGACGAGGATTCCTCTCTGCAGATGATGTACCAGTCCCAGAGGATAACGTAGGGTGTCTCCTATAGGGTGACTAGCAGGTTGGGATGAGGCACTTCCCACAGGGTGCCCAGCACATGAGGTAGCTTGGGAGGTTGCTTCTCAAAGGGGGCACCCATCAGACACAGTGGAGGGAGCCTGTCTGCTTTGTACATCCCTGCTGGAAGGGAGGAGATGGATCTGAGTGTCAATGATGAAGCTTCTCTACTGCTGCATAAGGCTGAGTGCACTATGCGGATACCAACCTTGGAGAACTGAGGACTCAGATCCGTGCCCTACCATGGCCAAGTGGGCTCCCTGCCATCCTCTGACCATACTGCTTTCTATTCAGGTATCTCCAGGGACAACTGGCATAAGCGTCGCAAGACTGGGGGCAAGAGGAAGCCCTACCACAAGAAGAGGAAGTATGAGTTGGGGCGACCTCCTGCCAACACTAAGGTGGGTGATTTGCCGGGGTTGATCAGTAATTGTGTTTTCATACTCAGGTTGGTGGTTGTGTGTCATTAGACTTTTAAATACATGCTGTATTTTGTGAGTGGTTAAATATCTGTCACTGCTTCTTTAAAAGGTGATATTTTCCCCTATGCTTATGGAAAGCAGTGATGCATTTTTGCAATAAGAGGCAATTGGAGTGATGAAACTTTCACCTTAGGTAGATGCAATGGACCGTTTTGGTCACTTACCGTATCTGCCGATGCTGGGGTTTGTCATAGTTACACTGACCACATTGCCTTTGAAGTTAGGAATTTGCTGGGCTGCTTTGCAAGCTGTGCAGCGTTCCAGCACCAACAGCACCCTGGTGTTTCTTTCGGACCATAGATTGGCCCACGCCGAATTCATACAGTGAGGGTTCGTGGTGGAAATAAGAAGTACCGTGCCCTTCGGTTGGATGTTGGCAACTTCTCCTGGGGATCAGAATGTAAGTACATCATAAGCCTGATGTGTTGGAAGGGAAAAGTTTTACAGCTGTGCTGGTCCCTGATACTGCTACAGAGTAGTGGGATGATGATGCACGCGTGGATTTGTAGGCTGGGTTTGAACATCGTGGAGCTTGCAGTGCTGGGTCTGAAGCAGCATGCATAGTGATGATAACTTTGACCTTATGTGGCCTTAGGAGACTTGGATGTCTGCTACGTTCACAGTGATTGGAGTGTTATAGTTACACTGAGTGACATGCTTGGGTTACTTTTTTACTGGGGGAGAATTACGGGGAGGGGCAAAAAAACTAAATACGGGTAGTTCTTCATAAATGCAACTTCTTCCATTTATTGATAAACACTTACTAAAAGTTAAGTGGTCCTGTACAAGAGAGAAGGAGCCTGGGCATGTTCAGTGTTAGTCAGCATGATGGTAAAGCCACCAGTTAGTAAGGTGGTGGTTCAGTGGCCAGCATAGTGTGAGGGAGAAAGGACATGCTTTCTTCTCCGTGATCACGGAAGGTTGTCCGTACTGTGGTAAGTGCTGTTATTCATAGACATTATAAGTACATTCAGGATTGAGCCCCATGTGCAGTGTTAGTTGGCATTTGTTGAGGTATCTTCCAATCCAGATATTTTATTTTTTAGAATTGCTTAGTCTTACATGAGATGAGTTCCAGCATGGCCACAGATCACAGTTTCACACCTGGGGTGAAACAGTTTCCAGGTGGAGGCTTCTGTCCTAGCAACAGAAAGTTGGACTGATGAAAAGTAGATGCTCCTCTTAGTTAAATTTAATTCACTGCCAGGGAAGCTGGAGGACATTTAATGGGTGGATGAGTGTGAGATGGTTTGAGAGTATGTGTGAAATGCTGTGGAATGTATTCTCAGTTGTCTGATCCCTGTAGGTTTGAATTCATACTCTTCTTTTGAAAGGCTGCACTCGCAAGACCAGAATCATCGATGTTGTCTACAATGCTTCTAACAATGAACTGGTGCGGACAAAGACCCTGGTGAAGAATTGCATTGTTCTCATTGACAGCACCCCATACCGTCAGTGGTATGAAGCCCACTATGCCTTGCCTCTTGGACGCAAGAAGGGCGCCAAACTGGTATGTCTGGGATTGTCCTTGTCATCTTGAGTCCTTGGAGAGTAGAGTCTGCCCTGCTAGAGGCAGTTAGCCATTGGGAGTGGACAGTGCCTGCCAGAAGATGGTACTGCCTGCCAGAAGAGGGTTGAGTACCCGTCAGTGATAACATTGGTTATCTGGGCTGCATTCCTGTCAACTCCCAGGATAAGTCTGGCTCTGTTAATGGAGTGTTCGGTACCACGGAGCTCTCTGAGGCATTGCACCCGTTTGTGCACAAGGACCTGCCTGTTGATCTCTTTGGTCTTCTAATGATGATACCTTTGTCCAGTTCTGCTACTGAAGGGAGAGCGATGACATGTTATGATGCTGAGGAAGACTTTGCAGATCAGGTCCTTGTGCTGGGAAATCATTGCTTAGATGAGAACCTTGTGGATTGCCTTTGATTTTGTTTAAGATCCAAACCCCAGACTGCTAGAAGGTATTTAACCCTCTACATGTAGCATTCAGCTTAAGGTTGTCTCCTTGCATTAGAAACAAAGCACTTTTAGCTGAGCACTGCGCAGTTGAGAAGCGCAGGGAGAGCTTGTAACCTGTCTGCTGGGACTTGCACCACACCCAAGTGCTCTCATTATTAATGTCTGGAGAGGGGAAGAGTATTCACTTTTTTGGAGGAGGATTAACTCAACAAGGAAACCTTTGCAGTTTCATTTGTCTAAGAGCACCCTTCCCTAGGGCACCGTGCTTTGTTGTCAGCAGTGACTCTGGTTAGCAACATTGCGTTTCTTGGCCTTGAAAGTGAAACCGCCTGGTTCTGTGGGGTTGAAGTATTTGTACCTCTGGAAGGTATGACGTGGGAAATGGTACAAGAGAATACAAACATTTCCTTGATGTTAGTGGAGACCACCTGCGCTAGCAGAAGGTGGCCGTATGTTTAACCTTGTCTTTGCTTGTGGTCTTGTTTTTAGACTCCTGAAGAGGAGGAAATCTTGAACAAGAAGCGTTCAAAGAAGATCCAGAAAAAATACGATGAGCGAAAGAAGAATGCCAAGATCGCGAGTATTCTTGAGGAGCAGTTCCAGCAAGGAAAGCTACTTGGTAAGTCCCTGGCAGCATTAATGTGGGTGGTGGTAAGGAAGTCAGGGCACAAACAGGATGCCAGAGCAGATAATATTCATGGTCTTCAGATCACTTAAAGTTCTACTCGCTGTGATAAAGGTAACTGCTGGGTGAAAGCGATGGGGGTGTTCTCCATATCTGCAGGAGTATCTTCTGGCTCTTAAATGTAACAACTTCTTTATCTTCTCCAGAGTTACCCCACTTGTGGTAGGAAGGGGAAATCTGTTTCTGGAGCTTAAATTGGTACATGTCCCAGCCAGGCCCCTGGAGTTGATCATTCCTGGTTGACCTTTGAGAAAAATAATGGGGCTCAAGACTTAAAAGATGAATAAAGACCCACGGGCTGCACTGTGTGTCAGAAAAATGTGCTACGAATGTGTAACAGTTTTGGCCAGTTTCAATTTTTGGGGAATAGTTCAGTGTTCTGAAGTCTTCTGGTGATGAGACCTTTGTCCAGTTCTGCTACTGAATTTGAGCGATGACAGTTTGGAGATCTGAAGAGGACTTCATTAGGGACTCAGCCCAGCAGAGCAGGTTCAAGAGCGTGATACCTTAGGGGGAGGTACTGGAGCCAGCACAGGAACTGGTGTACCTGTCACTGATTACTTGCTCCTCCATGCTTTTGCAGAGAGACTGCCTGCAGTGGTTTATTTCGCTTTTGTATATACTGGGGTGGTGAGTTATTAAACTTCTTTAACTGGATGACTTCTCCTTGCAGCCTGCATTGCCTCCAGACCTGGACAGTGTGGCCGAGCCGATGGCTACGTGTTGGAAGGCAAGGAGTTAGAGTTCTACTTGAGGAAGATCAAGGCCAGAAAAGGCAAATGAATAAAAATTATTCTGCTGAGAGCACGAATAAAACCCAGAGTCTACTACAGTAAAGGGGTTGTATGCCTGTTTGTGTGTGCGGGGTGGAGGGGGCCTGTGTAGCTTCTCCTGCCTGTAAAATGTGAAGGAAGAAGGTTCTCTCCTGGAATCCCGGAGCGCTATTTGTGTCTTCAGGCAAGCTCTGACCCCGTGTGCTCTCAACTAAGACGTCTCTCTGGGTTCTAGGACAGTGACTTAGTGGACCAAGCGGGTGTGGAGAAGAGTTGTCAGACTTGGCTCAAGTGGAGAATTTCCGGTATCGGAACCTTGCAAGCAGGAGAAAAGTGCAGATGTCAACCCCCATTGAGTTCTGGATTTCTGGGAGCTGTAGTGTGTTAGGTCAGTGGGGAAAGGGGTCCTGCTACCTCAGGAGGGTTCTCCAGCAAGCAACTCTACAGCTGTGGTGCTGTGTTCTAAGGCTCTGCATTTGTGTGAAGCCTGGCTGAAAATTTATCTCCAGCCTGTACAGCTGGTACCTCCTGCCTCCGCTTTCCAGATCACATGTCCTCTGGTTCAGGCCAGCAGCCCCTTTTGCGCGGCGTTTTCTGCCTGGTTGTACGATGGCCTTCAGGGTCTGGTATCTTTTAACCAAACTTGGCTGCACTGGTCGTTGACCAGCTGGTCTTTCCCTGACCTCCTTGGTATCATTCCAGTGCAAGATAAATTCCTTCTAGCAGAAGGGCCAGGCTCTCGTTGGCGGTCTGTCCCTTTCGAAAGCTGGGTACAAACTCCAGCTTTTTGCCCTGTCACTTGTGGCGGGATTGGAAAGCTGCGATGGAGCAAAAGATGGGTGTTCTGGGGCATGAGATGTCATTCCTTGGGGCTGCTGTCTTTAAAGAAAGCTGGGGTGATGGATCTCTGCGTCTAATTGCCAAATGCTTTGTGCAGGTGTTAGGGTGAAGTTAGGAGCCCATCTAAAGGCTGGTCCCAGGGCTGTGGGGAGCCAGACTCGCACATCTCATGCCAGCCAAGGGGACGCACTGCATGCTCCACCCCGCTCGTCTATTTTTACAAAAGCTTCATTGATTCATAGTGTGAGGCAGACTACCTACAGCCCCAGCTTCACAATTTTTAGCTCTGAACTGAAGGAGATGGTCCGTGATCATCTTCATAGAATCATAGAATGGTTTAGGTTGGAAGGGACCTTGAAGATCAGCAAGTTCCAATCCCCCTGCCACGGGCAGGGTCCCCCTTCCACTGGACCAGGTTGCTCAAAGCCCCGTCCAGCCTGGTCTTAAACACCTCCAGGGATGGAGCTTCCACAACTTCTCTGGGCAACCTGTTTTAGTGTCTCCCCACCCTCATAGTGAAAAATTTCTTCCTAATACCTAATCTAAATCTACCTTCTTCCAGTTTGAAGCCGTTCCCCCTCGTCCTATCACTACATGCCCTTGTAAAAAGTCCTTCCCCAGCTCTCCTGTAGGCCCCCTTTAGGCACTGCAAAGCTGCTATAAGATCTCCCTGGAGTCTTCTCTGTTCCAGGCTGAACAGACCCAACTCTCAGCCTGTCATTGTAGGAGAGATGCTCCAGCCCTCTGATCATCTTTGTGGCCCTCCTCTGGACCCACTCCAACAGATCCGTCTCTTCCTTATGTTGGGGGCTCCAGAGCTTGATGCAGTACTCCAGGTGGGGTCTCACTGGAGTAGAACAGAGGGGCAGAATTACCTCTCTTGACCTGCTGGCCACACTTCTGATGCAGCCCAGGATACGGTTGGCCTTTTGGGCTGCAGTTGCGCATTATGAGCTCATGTTGAGGTTCTCGTCAATCAGCACCCCCAGGTCTTCCTCAGGGTTGCTCTCAATCCATTCTCCACCAAGCCTGTATTTGTGCTTGGGATTGTCCTGTCCCACGTGCAGGACCTTGTACTTGCTGAACTTCATGAGATTGGTGTGGGCCCACCTCTCCAGCCTGTCCATGTCTCTCTGGATGGCATCCTTCCCCTCCAGAATGTCTTGGCCCAAGCAGAGCTGTGGTGAGACACGTCTCTAATTTCCTGATGTGGACCATCTGTCCCACCAATAACTCGTGCTTGGTAGTTGGGGTTTCTTTTAAGTTTTTCCTGCGATGCTCTGCCGTGGGTGGCAGCAGGAGGTGCTAGCGGGCTCAGGTGCCCTGGGAGGTGTGGGTTCATCCTGCCTTGCTGGCAGGGAGCCAAAGATGGATCTGTGCCACAGAAGAGGGGGCACCCAAACAGCATCAGAAGACGGTACCCATTATCTTGATGGCTACAGCAGGAGGTTTGTGCGGTGGTGGGCTTGGCACTGCCTTGCAGCTCGGGTCTGTGGTCCTGCGGGCACTGCGAACAGAGCCATGCCCAGCTGGGTGCAACTGGCTGAGCTTTTGGAGTCCCTTGGCAGCGTCTGGGACTTGGGCTGGGTGGAACGTTTGCACAAGCACATTCCTTCTCCATAGTGATGCGGGGTAAACTTTCCCTGCTCTCCAGCAACGCCTGCTTTCCAGAGAGGTGGGGTGGAGGCAATAAAGGGCGCTCGGGAGGGTTGCGTCACGGCTGCTTCCTCTGAGTGTGTTTCTTCTCGCCCTCCGCAGAGCGCAAACAGGATTCGGGGTGTTTCTGGGGGACTTTGTACAGATGGAGGAACTGAGGCTTACGGGGCAAGTGCCAACTTGGTGTCAGAGCAGGAGCTGTAACCCTGGTCCCCCATGAGCAGGATGATCGTGGTGATTTCATCAACGCACACTGCTTGTAAAGTTACTGCTCCGAAAAATGCCGCTGCTAAGGGTGACGTCCCCTGGGAACAAAAGCGGCGCCTATTGCCCACCGGAGCCACGCTGTAGGTGTGACATGGGAACTGCACGTGGCTCCCACGGTGGCTGTGGGACCTCTCACGACTGGGCCACGGGATGAGTGGTTTCTGCTCTGGCCCTGGCGTCGCCCCGTGGGTGTGCACAGGGATTTACCTGCCCGGGAGGAGGAAAACCTGTCCCGCACCGAGCCAGAAAGAGACGGGCAGGGGCTGCGGTTAAGCACAGCTTTAGCCTGGCTGGGTCTAAGGACCTTCCCCACTTCTGCAGGTAGGTTAGAGGGCTGAATTTTTTTTTAAAAAAGCTACTTTCCGTAGGATGAGCAGCCAGCAGCATAACCCAAGTGGGGTCACGCGTCATCCTGAATGCTACTGCTTGATGTTGAGTGGCTCTCTCAGCTCCACGCCATATTAACTTCAGGGTGTTTTCATGGAACATGCTTCTACCCAGAAAATGACCTGGTGGTTACGCTTTAACAGGTCCAGCAGTGCCCTGGAGGGTAGCAGAGGAGGAGCAAGGCTCCCTTGCTGGATGGAGATGGGAGATTTAAAGGAAAGGTGGCCTTGAGAAAGGGGGGCTTGCAGGAAAAGGAATTTTTTTTTAACAGCTCTGCTAATATTATCAGGGGAAACATGTCTGAGCGCAGGACTCCTACAGGGCAGCACGTTACACAGGACAGCGTCCAGGCGGGTTTTGAATGTCTCCAGAGTGGGAGACTCCACCACCTCTCTGGGCAGCCTGTTCCAGTGCTCCACTACCCTCAAAGTAAAGAAGTTCCTTCTCATGTTAAGATGGAACTTCCTATGTTCAAGTTTATGCCCATTACCCCTCGTCCTATCACTGGGCGCCACTGAAAAAAGACTGCTCCCATCCCCCTGGCATCCTCCCATTAAGTATTTGTATGTATTAATAAGATCCCCCCTCAATCTTCTTTTCTCTAGACTAAAGAGACCCAAGTCCCTCAGCCTTTCCTCATAAGAAAGGTGCTCCAGTCCCCTAATCATCTTTGTTGCCCTTTGCTGGACCCTCTCCAGCAGTTCCCTGTCTTTCTTGAACTGGGGAGCCCAGAACTGGACACAGTACTCCAGATGCGGTCTCACCAGGGCAGAGTAGAGGGGGAGGATGACCTCCCTCGACCTGCTGGCCACACTCTTCTTGATGCACCCCAGGATGCCATTCGCCTTCTTGGCCGCCAGGGCACATTGCTGGCTCATGGTCATCCTGTTGTCCACCAGGACTCCCAGGTCCCTTTCCACAGAGCTGCTCTCCAGGAGGTCAGCCCCCAACCTGTCCTGATGCATGGGGTTATTCCTCCCCAGATGCAGTACCCTACACTTGCCCTTGTTGAACTTCATAAGGTTTCTCTCCACCCAACTCTCCAGCCTGTGCAGGTCACGCTGAATGACAGCACAGCCTTCCAGCGTGTCAGCCACCCCTCCCAGTTTCATGTCATCAGCAAACTTGCTGATGGTACGCTCTATCCCTTCATCCAGGTCATTGATGAATATATTGAAGAAGACTACACAGTACTGACCCCTGGGGAACACCACTTGTTACTCGCCTCCAACCAGACTCTGCACCACTAACCACAACCCTCTGAGCTCTATCTGTCAGCCAGTTCTCAATCCACCCCACTGTCCATTCATCTAACCCACACTTCCTAAGCTTGCCTGTGGGGATGATGTGGGAGACAGTGTCAAAAGCCTTGCCAAAGTCAAGGTAGACAACATCCACTGCCCTCCCTTCATCCACCCATCCAGTCACACCATCATAGAAGGCGTTTTTTGTTTCTTCTTCCTTCCTTCACATTTCGGAGGCCTCCGGCAGCCAGGTCCCCCCCAGGCAACCACCAGGCACGGGTGGCTTGTGGCCTCATCCTCTGTCTCATCCTCCTTGATGCAGGCCACTGACTCGCGGTCCTTGGAGCGGTTGAGGTATGGGGAGGGGAAGACACCATCTGCCCGGGGACACTGCAGGTGAGGGTGACCCTGGCTGCCCCAGCCAAAGTTTTTGATGCTGGTGGCGGGGGATGCAGCGGTGAAGAAGTGGCTGAGCAGGGGCGTCTGGGTGCACAGCACGCTCGGTGAGGCCTCCACCGGCTGGGTCTGCTCCGCATCCTCACCCATGCTGGGGGAGGCACGGCAGGGTGGTGGGGACAGGCTGCCATCCTCAGCAGGGACGCCCAGCACCACTCACCGCCTCCATCCCAATGCATTCGCAAGCAAGGAGCAGCTCCTGGAAGCCACGTCCCTCCCCCAGCAGCTCATCCATCGCCCAGTGCAGCCCCCAAGCCCCACAGGGGTTGGGCAACGCGCTCCCGGGGAGGGATTTGCTGTTTGCTCGCTGTAATTGGGCCCTGGGGAGGGGACAGGGACATGAGCCCGCTTGTGGTATTGCTACCCTGAAGCAGTTGCCTTCTTTTTCTCCAGCCCCAGGGCTGCACCGTGCCCTCACCGCATGTTGAAGGTGGAGCCCAGGAACGAGGGCTTCAAGGTCTCAGCAGCTGTGGCCATGGCGTGGGGGGGGCTGAGCCATGGACTTGTTCCAGTATTTGTCCTTCATGGCAGGGGGCAGGTTCTGGTACGTGTCATCCATGGAGAGCAGGGACACCTGGGCACGGCAAAGGCAGGGGACAGGGGTGGCTTCTGAATGCTGTCCTCAGAGATGAGGGGCTGAGCAGCACTGCCAGGCTGCTGAGTGTCCCTTGGGATGGTGCTCACCCTGCCAGGGGGAGCACACATGTGGAGGGACAGGGATGGAGGGACAAGGTACAGCCCTGCTTCCTTGCGTGGCAACCTATTTTGGACAAGGACTTGTGTGGCCAGGAGCAGGGCTGGGGGCTGGCAGGGCACAGGTCCCACTGCCAGGGGGCAGGAGTGTCCCTGTGCCCCAATTGCAGCAGCCTCACACCACATCAGCCTGGCGCAGGACCCACCTGCAGGTTCCTGTCTATCAGCTTGTTGGTCTCAAAGTCATCATTGTCTTCTCCAAAAGGGTTAATGATCTGCTCTGCAACCTGGGGAGGGTGGGAGCCAGGTGAGACAGGTGATCAGGGACAGGGACACCTTCCCACCGGGATCTCCATCCCACAGTCCACCCATGAGGCAGATGAAACACATAGGCTTGGAGCTCCATGGTACCCCAGTGTAATGGCTAGGCTTAGAGGATGTGTCCCCAGGAGCAGCTAGCTGTTGTGCGATGTCCTGGGCCAGCCACCCCTGCAAGACCAGTGGGGTGCTCAGGGCCACCTGGCCACCCCTAGCCCGTAAAGCAAAGTCTGCCTGTGTGGCCACATCCCACCTTCAGCCAGCCGGTGTAGAAGAACTGAAGAAGGGTGGAGAAGAGGATGAACCTGTCCAGGTCCCCTTCCTGCCCAGTCTCCAGTGGCTTCAGAAACTGCCACCTGATGAGGTGGAAGGTAAAGAAGGAGTAGATGGCAATGGTGACCACCTGCCAGAAGTACAGGTCAGCCAGTGGCAAGGGTGGCAGCCAAAGGGGACTCATGGCACAGGAGCAGCAAGGATGCGAGAAGCTCGGCCAGTCACTGATGCTCTTGCAAGCTTAAGGCTAAAGCCCACTGTCCCACTGCCCGGGCTCCTGCACAGCCCCGCAGAGCTGGGAACCAGTGGCCATGCCAGATTGGGCACCAGAATTCAGTGGGGGACTAAAGTGCTTTTAGGAAGGGGAGTAAAGTGCTCCCCATCGGGGTGCAGGGAGGAGGCTGTGGGGCTCCTCCACCACTGTGGGGTGGAAGGAGCTGGGGTCTGGGCTCGGGGGGCCCACGGGGTGCATGGGTACCCACCTGCGTGTACAACAGAGGGATTCTGATCCAGTCGTAATGGAACAGCACGCTGCACTTGGCCCGGTAGAGATTCAGCTCCTGGGCAGAGAGGACAAGGATGGATGACCCAGGCTTTGCATGGTGCCTGGTCTGCCCCGTGCAGCCGGTGCCGACTCACATCCGTGAGCAGATGGAGGGCCACGTCGTCGTGGATGCGGCCATCCCACCTGGCCTGGGCCACCAGGTTGGTAAACCACACACAGGGGATCCAGCACTTGTTGAAGTCGGAGTGGAGGCTCTCAAACTTCTTGCGCTCATCCTGCGTCATGAAGCCTGCGGCGGGGCAGAGGCTCAGTGCCATGGCCCCTGTGTTGGCAGGGAGAGACGTTTTGGGGACCATCCCCAGTGGGAACACAGGGTTTTCCAGGTAAAACTCCATCCCCTGGAGGCAAGCTCTGGGCAGAGGGGACATGGGACTCTTTGGGGGTGAACATCTGTGCAAGGATGCCACCCTGTGTGCGGGGCAGTTTGGGGCAGGGATGCTTGCAAGGATCCCCAGCCACCAGCACACCCTCCCAGTGACAGGAACACATCTGTGGCCCCCAGCTCTCACTCCACATTGCAAGCCATCACCCCCAGGTTTTAGCTTCTCACCCTCTTCCACCACATGGTCCAAGGTGGGGAAACGCTTGAGCACCCTGGTGCTGACAGGGCGCAGGATGAGGACCGCCAACAGGTTGGCGTAGCGGATGAGGGTGCACCACAGCATCCGTCCCTTCTCGTCCTTTCTGTGGACATTGCTGGAGATGATGCACATGAACTGGCCAGGCAGGGGGATGCTGGTATACTGGGCCCACCACTGTTTCACAATCAGGGTGATATAAAAACCTGCACTGGGAGATAGCGCATGGGGCAGCTCAGCACGACCGGGTGGTGGGTTGAGGTGAGGACGAGCCCACGTCAGCAGAGATGCCATGTTTCCGGGGGTGACAGATTTCTCTGTGGCTGGGAGATAAAGCACACTTTGTGCTTTCTTTTGGGCTGCCCTCCCCAGGGATGGAGGTGGGGATGTCCCCAGCTCTTCCCTGCCCTGGGTACAGGTGGCACAGGGCAGGACAACCATCTCTTGTAGACAAGGTGCCCCTTTCCTGGGCATGGGGAGGAGGGTGCAGAGCGGACCAGGGGAAATCACAGCCTCCCCATGACGTCCCCAGGGCCAGGGAGCTGTGCTCGGTGGGTCTGGGAGCTAAATGCCAGGTTCCTCCATTGCCCATCTGATGGTGTCCAAGAGATGTTTTGGCATGGGGTCAGGATAGGCAGTGGGGGCATCCTCAAGCCACCAGCGCCAGGGGAAGCATGAAACCCCAACTCCCGGGTTCCAGCGAGGGACCCATACCTAGGAAAAATGACATGGGGATGAGGTCCGTGGAGCTGTTGCAGTGTTGAGCCACTTTGGTATAGAGGCACTTCTCAGTCAGCAGCTGCCTGCAGCAGACACGCAGAGGGGTCAGGGACATGCAGCAGGGTCAGGGACATGCAATGAGATCAGGAGTGAGTTCTGGGGCTGGGGCACTGCCTCGGACCTCCACAGAAAGCCATTGCCCGATTCCTCTTCTCTTTGCCCCCCCTGCCCTTCCCTGCCTACTCCCACCATCCCTGGGGGAGTCCTCTGGGTTTCTCCCCTCCCTGCAGGGACCCCAGTCCATGACCGATGGGGCATCTCTGCACATCCCAGTGGGTCAGCAGGGAGGGACATGACCAGTGGTGACACACCGACCCTGCTCACTGGTAGACGAAGCTGAGCACGGCATACAGCACCACAAAGACCATGAACTCCTTGTACAGCAGCTTGGAGATGCTGCTTTTCCAGCGGAATCCTTCTCTTGCTGGCTAAACTGGGGAGAACTGGGTTTCCAGCTGCCATCCAATCTGCAGGACCTAGGGATGCTCACTCTCTCCCACACGAAGCACTATGGCCCGTCAGCGGGATCGCCCACGCAGCCACCCTGCCCTTCCCACGTCTGCCACAGCCACTGCCCGCTCCCTGCCTGCTCCCTCCTGCCCTGCCGGTGCCTCTTCCACCTAAATACCCCAGCATGGGGCTGCACGGCCGAGCCCTTCCCGTGATGGATTTGGGCTGTCAGAGGCTGGGAACAGGGAACTCAGGGTCGGTCACACCTCCCTGCCACCAACCGTGGCCGGAGACATCGGTGGTGGCTACAGGTGCTGGCACTGGGGCCGGGCAGCACCCAGCGGAGTGGTTTGGGTCATTCCCCTCTGCAGCCACGGTGGCTGAATTTAGGCTCCGTGAGAAGGAGAAAGGAAAGGAGGGTTGCATCGCTCCTGGCAGGCCTGGGAACGGGACCTCGGGGTGTGCGGGCAGAGCGGGCAGCCAGGGAGGGCTGTGGGATATTTTTGGAGCACGGGTGGAAAACGTCCCTCTCGCTGCTCAAGTCCTCACTGCCAGCAACAGGCTGGGGGCGAGGTGGGGGGGCCTGCAGCCCCTGGGGACGTCTGGCTGACCCCTGGCTGTGCTGCCTCAGCACTGTGGCAGCTCCTGGTCCCTCCATGTTCCCAGCGGAGGGGGGTGGGGGGGTGGAATTGGAGATGGCATCAGCTGGGATGTCCTGGCTCTAGTACCTGACAGGGAGTGATAAGAGGCATATTAAAGGCTGGCACAGGGCCACTTTCCCAGGGCCTGGGAGGGAGCGGGAAGGGAAAACAATCCGGCAGGACATAAAAGAGTGGGAAACATCCATGAGTGACAGCGAGCTGTGCAGGGAAATCATCCCGTCCTCATCCCCGACCCATACTGGGGTTGGGACTGAGCACTGCCGGGGCTCGTGGCTCGTCCCGCCGTGGGCTGTCGGAGGCCATGCCGCGCTCTGCAGGAAGCACCGCTTCCTTTGCCGGCCGGAGCTCCGCGTCCTGCCTTGCCCAGCTCCCTCCCTTCCTGCCCGGGCACAGCGCCCGGCTCAGGCCCGGGATGGCTCTGGTGTGGAGCACGGCAGCCGCAAGGGCTTCCAGGCGGGGAAATGTCCCCCTGGGTAGGGGGGACAGGGTTCAAGGGCGCCTGCCTCTCCCCATCCCTGGAGAAGGGCTGGAGCATCCATGGGTGAGACTCACTAGAGGGGGTCCCTGTGCAGGGGGGTGATTTGCAGCACCCCCAGCCTTTGCTCCGTTCCCAGGAGCCCCACAAGTTCCTGCCCTGGCCGGGAACTGTGGCATTTACATCAGGCTGACACCTTCCTGGCTGGGCTGTAAATCATGGCACAAAGGCAGAGGATCCTCTCACCCCAAGCCAGTCCTCAGCTCTGCTCCGCCAGGCCGGCAAAGCGTCCCCGGGGCTGCTGGATGAGACCCACGCTGGGGCATCACCCAGGGCGTGGGAGGGGAGACGGGGTAGGAGCGAAGCCCCCCATCCCTGCACTCCCCCATGTCCCTTCAGTCGGCTCCCCACCACCCCAAACCACACAGACACAGGGATGGAGCCGCACTTCCAGGAGTAAAACGATTTATTTCTTATTGAGAGCTGAATCCTACAGGGCCTGGCAGCACACTGGGGAGGGGAGGCTGCAAGGGGCCCCTCCAGTGCCTCCCTGCGTGCGTGTGCAACTTGCACACCCGCTCCCACCCACCCCTGCGCAGTCCCCGCACACACGTGTGCAAGCACACTCATGCGCGCAGCAGCACGTGTGCACCGGCTGTGTCAAGCCCCCGTGACATGTAGTGGGACATGGTGGGATGTGGGGTGGGCAGCAGGTAGGGCCACCCCAGGCTCCCTCTGCCAAGCCCAGGACACCCCATCCCCACGTGACGCTCCCTGCAGACCCCATGGGCAGAACCAGCCCCATTTCATGTCCCCAGACCCTGTTCGCTGCAGGCTGGGGAGCAGCAGGTCCGTGCCAGATGCCGTGTGGCTCTAAAGAGAGAGGATGGAGGCCCCGGCTGGTGGGTCTGGCACACACAGTATTGTCACCTGGTCCCCAAAAGCAGCCCCCACCTCCTCTTCACATCCTTCCTCAGGCACTGCCAGCCCATGCGTCCCCAAACACCGCCAGCCTGCAGCAGGGTCCCCAGTGTCTGAAGTACCCTCGTACCCCCTGCCCAGCTGCAGCACATGGCAAGCGAGGGTTGCACATGGTAGTGCAGGGGAAGGGATGGGAATTTGGGGGTGCAAACAGCTGCTGTAAGCCACAGGCGGACAGCTCATGCCTCTCCTGCTCTGCTGGCTTTCGCCACTGCCCGGCCCCTGCCATCCTCCCGGCATGTCCCAGACACAGCCTGAGTCCTGGCATCAGTGCAGGTCAATGTTCTCATACTCCAGGTTGTCTGAGTCCTCCAGCTCGATGCCAGGTACCAGGTTGTAATAGTTGGTTGACTGACTCATGTAGATCTTCTCCCGGTCAGCAGAGTCCTTCAGGACTTCACTCACGCTGACAGTGTCCACCTCTGGCTCACTGCCCCCCAGCTCCTCTGCCCTCAGTGCCGGGGTGTCCCGCTGCCCGCCCGACCCCGTGCCCCGCTGCCCTTCATAGGTTGGCACCTGGGAACTGCTGGGGGATCCCACAAGGATCTCCACCTCCTCGTAGAGGTCCCTGCTGCTCTCCAGCGGGTCCATGGCGGGCTGGAGCATGACCTGAGTCCCCAGCAGCACCTTCTTCTCTGTCTCAGAGGGGGCAGCAGGCAGCTCGTAGGGAACGTAGTGGTGGGGCTCCGCAGGCACTGTTGTGTTGCCTCTCTCTGCTGCAGCTGGGTGGCTCTGGGACCTGCTCTGAAGGCTGTAGTTGGTCTTTCTCTTCTGCCTGCAGAAGCACCAGGTGATGCCAGCGAGGATGAGGAGAGGGGGCAGGCAGATGAAGAGGGCGGTGAGGCTGTGAGAGCGGCACAGCTCATCCCGTGGGATGCTCTGGAGGTCCACACCACGGTACCGCTCCGGCGTGTGGCAGATAACCTCAGCAGCCAGGCTGGGCCAAGCCTCCAGGTTGCTGAGCAAAGGGCAGCTGCAGTCCCAGCTGTTGTTGGAGAGCTGGAGCTGGAGCAGAGAGGGCTTTAGGAGGCTGGCAGGAAGGAAGGTCAGGGCATTGAAGCCCAGGTAGACCTCCTGGACCTGGGTCGATGCTTTCAGGAAGGACTTGGGCAGCTCCTGGAGCTGGTTGCTGTCCAGATGAAGGACCCTCAAATTAGGGGCATCTTCCAGAAAGCTTCCAGGGAGACTTTCCAGCAGGTTGTGACTTAAGTGCAAGATCTCCAAGGCAGGGGGGACTCCCTGCGCATTGCTGATGGCTGTGATGCTGCAGTGCGAGAGGTAGAGCTCCCGCAGCCCCCGCACCCCTACCAGCGTGCCCCAGTCCAGGTGGGTGATGTTGGAACTGGTGAAGTTGAGGCAGCAGCTCTCAGGGAGCGGAGCCTCCCGGAAAGCCTGGAAGTCCATGGGCTCCGTGCAGTTGCAGCTTTGCGGTGCCGGGTCGAGGGCAAGGCCGGCAGCGAACAGGACGCTGCCCCAGAGGGACACGGTCCCCAGCCCAGCGCCTGCGGGGAGAGCAGAGGGGACGGGTGACCTCCCACGACAGTGGGGTAGGGGGGTGAATCCCGCTTCTCCCCCTCCTCGGGAAGGGATCCGGGTCCCCGTAGCTCCCCCCCCTCCCCCGGACCCACCTTCCGGGACTGCCGCCCCCCGCCAGCCCGGGACTGTCTCACACCCGACCTCCCGCTGCTCCGACCGGTTGCCCGCGGGCAGC